GACACAACTTTGCTTGCTGAAAGTGAGGATGACTTGAAGTACTTACTGATGAAGATTGAAGAATACAGTCTGCAGTGTGGATTACATCTCAATATAAAGGAAACAAAAATCCTCACAACTGGTCCTATAAGCACCATTACAATAAATGGAGAAAAGATTGACGTTGTCAAAGACTTCGCATTGCTTGGTTCTACAATCGACACCAATGGAAGCAGCAGTCAGGACATCAGACGACATATGTTGTTGCCATGGAGTCGGACCCAACTCAGCAACCCCTCCTTGGGTTTCTGAGGCAGTTGGCTACAAAGGATCTCTTTCAGGTTCTGAAGTACAAAGATGTCTCCTTGAGGACTAAAGTCACGTGACACAAGCCATGGTATTTTCATTCACCTCATATGCATGTGAGAGCTGGACGATGAATAAGGAAGACTGACAAAGAATTGATGCTTTTGAGCTGTGGTGTTGGTGAAGAATGCTGAAAGTACTGTGGACTCCTAAAAGAACTAACAGGTCTGTCCTGGAGGAAGTGCAGCCAGAGTGCTCCTTGGAGGCAAGAATGACCAGACTTTGTCTCACATACTTTGGTCATGTTGTCAGAAGGGACCATTTCTTGGAGAAGGATGTCAAGCTTGGTAAGGTGGAGGGTCAACGAAAGAGGGGAAGACCCTCAACGAGATGGATTGACACAGTGGCAGCGGTGATGGGCTCAAGTATAGCAAGAATCATAGAACTGGCCTAGGACTGGGCAGTGTTTTGTACTGCTGTGCATAAGGTTGCTATGAATCGGAGACAGCTCGACAGCACCTAACAACAACAACAACAACAATATTATTCTACTTAGTATTTCCTTTATGTTATAATTATTTGTTTATATCTCTTCATTCTTCCCAAGTGTCCATACTCAAAGACTCAGCTTCAGGTATACACAGTAGTAAGAAAAATAAGTTTGACTCGACAGCACATAACAACAACAAGAAAAATAAGAACATGAAAAAAATAAAATAAAATTTAAAAAACTACTATCCAATGTCCCTATCATTTCATAAAATAAAGAACATTTTAACTCCCATAGCAAAGACATTGTCTTCGATAAAAATTGAGTCCTTTAATTTTAATTAGTTCAACCTAATGAACCACACAATATGTTTTCATTGTTTTTCTCATGTTGTCAAACACTGATAGGAACCTTGCATAGATTGGCAGCAGTCCTCTGACTAGATATCGGTAACCAGTGTTATTCTGCTTCCTGTGTAAAATATTCCTGCTTATCAATGAGAAAGACAATTAACCTTCCAAAATTGAGACTTTTTTTTTTTTTTTTTAACATTTCACAGGTAAACTAGATGGAGTATGTAGGCAAAATTAAATACTTTGTTCTTTTTTGTTTGTGTGTGTATGAAGGGTCGAGAAGCTGGCAGATTCCCAAGTGGATATCCTCTCCCCTTCCTTGAAGGGCCGAAACATAAGGCAAAAAATGAGTGAGAATGTGGAAGCACCCAGAAATTACAAGAGATCATCTTCAGCCACTTGGAATGAACTTTCTACAATTAAATTTAATACTGGGGTGAGCATATTCACTAACAATGTAAATCTAGTATGTTTGATTTGGGTCTAAGATGTACATTTTGTTTAATTGCTGAACTTAAAAGATGTTTCATTTAGCCATAGAAAACCCAGCCAGATATGGAACAGGCTAAACTATAAGCTTATTAATTTCCTGATGTAGAAGAGATGGATTCTAGATGTCGGTCACAGTCACTACTTTCAACGTTTTTATTTCTTGGGGCCACTTTGAAAAGTTTGTATTCTAATTTGTTGTTATTGTTGTTGTACTCAGAAGATACTGATTGATCAGATTTTGGAAAGTTTCTTACTGTGACCCAGAGTATATATATTGAACTTGCAAAGTTGATGCTGAAACATTGGTCTTCTGCTTCCAACAGGGAGAAGATAATCACAGTGAAGACAAGGGAACTCTAAGTCTGAAAACTGTACCCGCCAGAGTTTCTTGCACACAATATTGTTGTTAGGTAGCATCGACTTGGTTCTGACTCATAGTGACCCTAAGTACAACAGAACAGAAACGCTGCCTGGTCTTGCCCCATCCTCACAATCATTGCTCTGCTTGAGCCTTTTGTTGCAGCCACTGTGTCAGTCCATCTCATTGATGGTCTTTTTCTTTTTCACTGACCTGCTACTTTACCAAGCATGAAATGCTTCTCTAGGGACTGGTCCCTTCTGATCATATGTCCAAAGTACAAGCAAGTCTTGCCATCCTTGCTTCTAAGGAGCATTCTTGCTATACTATTTCCAGGACAAATTTGTTCATTCTTCTGGCAGTTCATGGTATGTATACTCAATATTCTTCACCAGTACCACAATTCAAAGGCATCAGTTCTTCTTTGGTCTTCCTTATTCATTGTCCAGCTTTCATATACATATAAGGAGTTTAAGCATACTGTGGCGACAGCACATAACAACAACAACAAGTGGCTTGGGTCAGGCACACTTTAGTCTTAAAGTGACATGTTTGTTTTTCAACACTTTAAATAGGGTTTTTTGCAGCATATTCGCCCAGTGCAATGTATTATTTGATTTCTTGACACACATTTCCCAATCTCAAAATATGTTATAAAGCTACAGTAATCAAAACAGTCTGGTACTGGTATAACAATAGGCATATAGACCGATGGAATAGAATTGAGCATCCAGAAAGAAATCTACACAACTGTGGTCAATTGATTTTTCAACAAGGGTGCTGAATGGGGAAAGAGTAGTCTCTTTAATAAACGGAGCTAGAACTGCATTTCCACACAGACTAAAGAATAGAGCTGGACCCATACCTCACACCATATACAATAACTAGCTCAAAGACCGAAATATAAGAACTGAAAGCATGAACTCTTAGAAGAAAACATAAGGGTGATTCTTTAAGATCTAGGTTTTGTTGTTGTTGTTATTGTTGTTGCATGAGCAATAAAAGACCAAAATGAACCTGATCAAAATTAAAAACTTTGGTTCAGCAAAGGACTTTATCAACAAAATGAAGAGACAATCTAAAGATTGGGAGAAAAATTTGGGGAGCCATATATCTGGTAGCTTAGTGCCTAAGACATGTGACTGCTAACCAGAAGGCTGGCGGTTCAAACCCACCAGCCACTCCTCAGAAGGAAGATGGGGCAATCTACTTCCATAGTGATGCTGCCTCAGAAACCCAAGGAGAGGTTGCTCTGAGTCAGGTCCAACTCGATGGCACATAACAACAACATATCTGACAAAGGTTTAATATCCAAAATATATAAAGAAATTCTAAACTTAACAAAAATACAAATAACCCAGTCAAAAAATGGGCAAAGTACTTGTATAGCAGTTCTCTAAAGGAGAAATATAAATGGACAATCATCACATGGAAAGACGTTCAACAACATTAGCTGTTGTTGTTGTTGTTGTTAGGTGCCATTGAGTTAGCTCTGACTCATTGTGACCCTGTGTATAACAGAACAACAAACTTTCTGGTCTTGCATTATCCTCATAATCCTTGCTATACTTGAGTCCATCATTGCAGCCACTGTGCCAATCCATCTTATGGAGGGTCTTCCCCTTTTTCACTGACTCTCTACTTTACTAAGCATGGTATCTTTCTCCAGGGAATGGTCCCTTCTGACAACATGACCAAAGTAGGTGAGACGAAGTCTGCCATTCTCGCTTCCAAGGAACATTCTGACTGCACTTCTTCCAGGACAGATTTGTTCATTCTTCTGGCAGGCCATGGTATTTTCAGTATTCTTTGCCAACACCGCAATTCAAAGACATCAATTCTTCTTTGGATAAGGAATTATTCATTGTCCAGCTTCCATATATGAGGCAATTGAAAATACCATGGCTTGGGTTAGGCACACCTTAGTCTTCAAAGTAACATCTTTGCTTCCTGATACTTTAAAGAGGTGTTTTGCAGCACATTTGCCCAGTGCAATATGGCATTTGATTTCTTGAGTTCTGCTTCCATGGGTGTTGATTATGATTTGAGTGAAATTAAATCCCTGACAACTTCAATCTTTTCTCCATTTATCATGATGTTGCTTATTGGTCCAGTTGTGAGGATTTTCATTTTCTTCATGTTGAGGTGTAATCCATCAGTCATTAGGGAAATGCAAATCAAAACTACAATGAGACGTCACTTCATGCCTGCTAAGATGGCTATGATTTTAACCAAAAAAAAGAAAAAGAAAGAAAGAAACAGGTACCGGCAAAGATGTGAACAAATAAGAACCCAAATGGTACAGCCACTGTGGAAATCAGTCTGACAGTTCCTCAGAAAATTAAACAATTACCATATTAAAAATAAATAAATAAATAGCTCACTGCTTTCAAGTCTAGTGCAACTCATAGCGACCCCTTTTGGGTTTCCAAGGAGATAAATCTTTATGGAAGTAAATTGCCTAGTCTTCCTTACATAGAGTGGCTGGTGGGTTTGAACTACCAGTGTTCTGGTTAGGAGTCAAATGCCTTAGGCACTATGCCCCCAGAGTTCCTTAAACAATTACCGTATAATCCAGAAATTTCATTTCTAGATATATACGCACAAAATCTGCAAGCAGAAACACATGCAGATTTAAGTACATCATTGTTCATTGTAGCACTCTTCACAAAAGTCAAAAGATGGAAATAAACTGAATTTCCATCAACAGATGAATGGATAAACAAAATGTGGTACATACATTCAAAGCAATATTATTCACATATAACAATGAATGAAGTACTGATACATGCTACAAGATGAATAAACTTTGAAACCATTAGTGTGAGTGAAATAGTTCAGCCACAAGAGAAAAAATATTGTTTGATTACACTTTCATGAAATAAATGAGCACATGTATACAAGTCAAGGTTGATTGGTCGTTACCAGAGACAAGTGAGAGAGACAGAGAAAGGGGAACTCAATACTTAGGGAACACTGAGGTTACCATAGGGTGACAGAAAATTTTGGAGGCAGATAATGGTGATGGTTGCATAATGGGATGAACACAATTGTCATTTAATTATAAAGAATGTTGACATGGCAGATTGTTTTCACCATTTTTTTCTTTTTAGTTTTATTGTGGTAAGTATATATATATACATATAAACATAAAAGAAAAAAAAACTTTCCAAGGAAAATAGTTGTATACAAGTTTTATGGGTATGTTTCTGTATAAAATGAGGAAAATTGAAATTTTATGATTTAATAGTAAACAAAAATAGATATAATTTGTTCTGATCAGAAATACTAAAAATCTGTTAATAAGGAAAATAATCTTTTTAAGATTTTTGATGTAGGTATCAGAAGCCAGGCCTTAATTCTGTCACTTAATATTTTACACTAATAAATGTTTTCATACAATCTTATTGTTTACCCAATCTGTTGTTGGGTTGTATTTAAGGAAATATTTATATGTGTATGTCTTCTACCATAAAATTTGATGCATTCGTCTTAAAGAGTTTAACATGAATATCCTACTTGGTTCACTAACCTTTGTAATGCTGTTCCTCTCCTCTTTTTAGTTTCCACTTCATTGCCAGCAGTTTCGTTCCATGTTGATAAAAAGGGCACTATTCAGTTGGCGCAAATGGAAGTTGATGTTGCTACAAATATTGGTAATTGTGTTTGTCACAGCCTATCTCTTAAAAATTGTGGACTCAAAAGATGAGCTGTATCCTAGAGAAATGGATTTGAGTCAATATGGTCGAACTATTGTGCCTTACTCAATTTCAGGGAATTCTTATTTGGCTCTTAATATCATAAAGAACCTTGAGATTTTTCTAAAGTCTAAGAATCAAGAACTTCGGGAAATACAAGGTAAGATCCACATTTAAAAAAAAAAAAAAAAAAGCCTGCACTGGTATGAAGGCCAATTTGTATCACTTACCCAGAGAGGACTTGCCTATAGTATCTAACTACCTGCTTCTTTCTTTACCTATTAGTCACTAGTGTCATCCCCTCAAAAATCAAACCTGTTGCCATCAAGGCAACTCTGACTCAGCAACTCTACAGGGTACAATAGAACTGCCCCATGGGGCTTCCAAAGCTGTGATCTTTAGGGTAGTAGACTGCATATATTTCTCCTGCAGAGCAGCTGATGCATTTGAACTGCTGACCCTTTGGTTAGCAGCCAACCTCTTAACCACTGTACCACCAGGACTCCTTACAAGTATCATACAAAACCAAATCCACTGCGATTGGGTCAATTCTGGCTCATAGCAACCCCCATTGAGTTTAAGGCTGTAAGTCTTTACAGAAGTAAATGGTTTCATCTTCCTCCCATGGAGCACCTGTTGGGTTTGACCTGCCACGCTTCTGGTTAGCAACCAAATGCCTTACCCACTATGCCACCAGAGCTCCTTTACCAGTATCATTACTCACTGCTATCGAGTGGATTCTGACTCATAGCGACACCCGTTGGGTTTCCAAGGTGGTAACTCTTTATGGAAGCAGATTGCCTCATCTTCTTTCTGTAGAGTGGCTGGTGGAATTGAACCACCAACCTTCTGGTTAGCAGTCAAATGCCTTAGGCACTGTGCCACCACAGCTCCTTACTAATATCATAGAGGCAACTGAATCAAAGACAGAAATAAACCCTTCAAGATTACTGGCCACAAAAGTTAATAAGTAATGGAGTCATGTTGGCTGTAGGTGCTCTTTTAGTTCATTGTGTCACCTTTCAGTGGATGGGGAAAAGAGCCAAATGCTATACTGTTTAGAAATTTAGCATAGAATTTTTATTCTGACCATAATACAAACATATCTCTCTACTCTCACAATGTGGCATGTTGGTGCCAAGACCTGAAAGCCATCCTTCTATCTGCTATGTTGAATGGCAAAAGGCTTAATGAGTGATTCCTCAGAATGAATTTATTTTGAAAGTAATTGTCTTAGTCAGGATTCTCCAGGTAAACAGAAGCAGTAATGTTGCTGTTGTTGTTGTTGTTATGTGCCGTTGAGTTGGCCCTGACTCATGGCAACCCCTCCTTGGGTTTCCAAGGCAGTATCACTACAGATGTAGATTGCCCAACCTTCCTTCCGAGGAATGGCTGTGGGTTTGAACTGCCAGCCTTCTGGTTAGCAAGTCAGAAATCTGTAGGTCAAGTGACAGGCTGCAAATTCAAGCAGTCTTTTCTATTTAGAGTTATGAAGGCGCATCCTCCTTTCTCAGGAATCCTGTTTTTGCTGTTAATACCTTCAACTAATCAGCCTAAGGTCAACTGATTTAAATGCTAATCACTTTTAAAGACCTTCATAACAACATCTAGACTAGCACTTGACAAAACAACTGGGCACCATAGCCTAGGGAAATTCATACATAAAATTAACCATCATAGTAATAAAAATAACTTATTTAATTTGCTTAGCATTTACCTTTGTCATGAACCATATTAAACATTTTCTGTTTTAATGCTAAAAATAACCATTTTAGGTAGTTTCTTAGTTATCTGTTGCTGTGTAAGGAGTCCCTAGGTTAAGTTCTCAGCTATTAATCAAAACCTTGGTGGTTTACATCCACCAGGGGCACCTTGGAAGAAAGGCCTGGTGATCTACTTCTAAAGATAACAGCTATTGAACCCTATGGAGTACAGTTCTACACTGAAACACATAGGATCACCAGGAGTCAGAATCAACTCAACAGTAACTGTTTGTTGTTGTTGTTGTTTTATTGCTCTGTAACAAATTACTCTACAATTGAGCAGATGGAGGATCTGAACCTTAAGTATTCTAGAATGAGGACCTTGCTGAGCCCATTCTACCACAAAAGCAACAAAATTACTTGCAAAGCAATTTTAAAATCCACCATTTCATTGCTCTTGAAATTAGCGGAAGACACTGAACCTCGGTAAAAACAATAGTCTGGGGCTTTGTAATGTGGGATTAGACCCTCCCTTCTCCCTAGCTCAGTGGTACAGTAGCCATGAAAAGCTGGTAGGTTCACAGTTAAAGGGATAGGACTGAATTCTTTTGGAGCTGAGTTAAAAGTCCCACTCTGAGAGGAGCGTTGCTATTTTGTCAAAATAAGATTTCTGCAAAGTTTCCATTCCTAAGGAATTGTTGCTATTGCATTTTAATTAGGACTCAGCTCTTCTGAAAAAGCCCACTTCCCAGAGCATTACTGCTCTGGGAATCTGCTAGTAACATCATCACAGTTGGCTAAGGGTGGCTGTGATTTCAGTTGAAGAAATAGGAGCCTGGCGGGGGGGAGAAGAATGCATGGAAAATTAGACAACCACAGTGAACTTTGAAAAGTTCAAATATATCCTTGGAGATCTAGAAGGTTGTGCACATACACAGGGCAGTGTGCATGATAGGAGTGACCTAGGAAAGAAGAATTCACTCAGTCATCTTTGGTTGATGTTGAGACCCTGCACAAGCAGGAAGTGAAAGTTGAAACAGACTTGTAAACTATCTGATGTTTGAAGGTATGCCTTACCGGATCAAGGCGTGTAAAAAATATTTTCACTGATAACTAAACTCTGCTGATACGGATTTGAATCCTATATGCCAGGCTTAAAAATGAAAGCAAGAATTTTTTAACTCCGTCAGAGAAATCAATGGCCCCACACTATAGAGAATACAGAATCTACAGAATTAGTCCATGTAAGTCACTAAACAGATGAGCAGCAATAATAAAAAAGAAAACATTAACAAGCCAGGGAAGGATCTAATACCAGAATTGCTACAATATATTGTCTTAAATGTTCAGTTTTCAATAAAAATAACAAAAAGGGACATGCAAAGAAACATAAGGGAATGGGGGGGGGGGACACCAGAATATGTCCATTTGGGAGGCCAGTTGTTGGACTTGTTGCTGTTGTTGTTAGGGCCATCAAGTTGGCTCCTACTCAAAGCAACCTTATGTGCAACAGAACGAAACACTGCCTGCTCCTGCAGCAGTCTCACGGTCCTTGCTATACCTGAGCCGATCATTACAGCCACTGTGTCAGTCCATCTTGCTGATGGTCTTCCCCTTTTTCATTGACCCTCCACATTACCAGCCATGGTATCCTTCTCCAGGGAATGGTCCTTCTGACAACATGACCAAAGTAGGTGACATGAAGTCTGGTCATTCTCACTTCCAAGGAGCATTCCAGCTGCACTTCTTCTAAGACAGATTTGTTAGTTCTTCCAGCAGTCCACGGTACCTTCAGTATTCTTTGCCAGCACCACAACTCCTTATTCATTGTCCAACTTTCACATGCATACAAGGTGATTGAAAATAACATGGCTTGGGTTGTTGTTGTTGTTGTTGTTGTTAAGTGCCGTCGAGTCGTTTCCGACTCATAGCGACCCCACGCACAGCAGAACAAAACATTGCCCGATCCCGCGCCAGCAGCACAATCCCTGCTATACTTGAGCCCATCATTGCAGCCACCGTATCAATCCATCTC